GTCCCTCCCACCCCGAGTGAAGAACTTAGTTTTCTCTTTTTTTAATTTAACATATTTGCTAAATTTAAAGGAATTTTTATGGTTTGTGCCTGGTTTTGGAGTTTTTGTGGGAGAAGTATTCCGATGAATTAAGATTGAAAAATAGGAAATCCTCACATCATTGTTGCCCCGTTATTTCCACAAAACCTTAGGTAATCGGTCAATAATTGCTGTAATTGAAGTTTTCTTCCATAACAACTTTTTATGGAAGACCTCATTGTTGTAAATATCAAGAAATGATTCCCATTTCCAATTCAATGGATGCCCTAGTACGAATGCTCTCTGCAGAAGAAGCGCCAGTTCACCTCAGATGTAACCATTTTTCATTGCTCTCTTTTTTGTCAACTGCAAGCTAATTTTTGAAGGCATTCCAAATTTGGCTGTCTATAACTAAAAAGAATTGGGAAACTTGACGTTTGGACTTGCCTGAGATTTGTCATATTTTAACTCAGAATCTCTGTCATGAACTTTTTAACTCTGAGTGTTAGCAGTTGTAAAGGTCAAGGAAGCATCTCTTTGGAGTTCAAGTATTTTCAACCCATATGTATTTGTTACACGATTTTAAGAATTTTAATCAACTTTTCAAAAGTCATAAATATCATAAAAGTAACGAAGCAGATAAATTTATTAAATTCAACTCAGAAATAAATTATTTTAGGTCATACAGTCCCCGAAATATCTCATTCCTTATACCTACCTCATACACAGTGTTTGAAAATCTGCGCCCTTCTTCTAGTAAGCAGTTTTTTTATTTTGTAATCGAACATTTAAAATAGGTTACCGCCCACTCTTTTGGAAGAGATACTGTTAAAGAGTCCACAGAAATGGCTAAGATTTCTAAAATTTTGCATCCGTTGTTCTTTATTTTTAAGTGACAGGGTGCAAAAACTTCATGATACTACCTTAAAATACGAAAATGTCTACAAATGCTTTTTAAAAAAGGGAGGTAGCTACAGCGGGGGTAGTTTTAGCAACATTTATGGCAGTCATTTTTTATTCTTAACTCCACCTGAAATACCCTTCAAAATCTGTGATTCTCTCAATTGACCTTACTCCAGATTTTCATCTCTTCCAAGAAACGTATTGGCATTATATAGTCCAAGTTAAAGTCATTCTTAGCTATTAGTTATTTAAAAGATGCCAATCATGTCTGATCATTGCTCTTTATTCTAATGTTAAATCAAGTTGTAATAAATTGATAATCTTACAGAACATACTAACTGACTTTCATTTTTGTCTCAGGTTATTGTACCAGCTAACAATAACTAGCGTTTGATAGTAAATTGATTTTGAGTTAGTCATGCCCTCGCAAAACCCCACGGCTTCTTTCATCGAGGTAAATAATCCTTGAACATTTACATGATTACTTCTATTTTTCTGTTGTTTATTCACCATTAAAATTGATTCTAATGGCTGTTGGGGTATCATTAATTAGTTTTCTTTTTTACAATTTGTCTACGTTTACTTACATGAGCCAAGCACGCTACTTTTAATTTGATATTGATACACTCTCCAGTGTGAATCACAGTATAAGCTGTTGGACACGCCCAGTAACGAGGAAAAACTTCATATTCTCATCTTTATTCTCTAGCTCCTCAAGAAGTCTGTTGTAAAATATCTTCAGAATCCTGCAATTCTTCCGCTGTAAAATTTTCAGCCTACAGACAAGCTTGTCTAATTTTGCCCTGATGTTTGTGGATTACTTAATTTTATGCCTTGTACTACTTGGTTTTATTTTCACTGATGAGATAGGTACATTTGATTTAATTAAATGACAGCAGGTTTTAGCATTCAAAATTCAGTTCATGCAGAAAAAGCTTTTCTATTAGTCTAAATCATTAGAATCCTTCTGAAAAGTTATAGGAGAGTTACTTCCCAAAAGTGTCTTTATTTGACAGAGAAGAGCAGGTATTATTTTGATGGTAACCCAAGTTCCCAATGCCATCACTTACTTCGCAGTCTTGTCTCCAGTCTTATCACACTCTGTTGAAGACCAATATCATGAAGTTCCTTTCTCTAAAGAGTGGTGGGGGGTGCAAATAAATAGAAGTTAACGAAAGGATTTTCCAGAGAATTTTTACTAGTTTATTCCCTCTAAGTGGAAGGAGAAATGACAAATATGTTCGTGAAAACTTGTGCAACTGTTTTCCTGGAAAGGAGTGAAATGTTAGAGGACGTCTTGAAACTCTGGAACTGTGATATGTTCACACATTTCATAGCGTAGACAAAAATTAATATCATTGCCTTAAGATTGAATTCATAGCAAACTTTTGAGTTCCTCCAGTACAATAAGTATTCCATTTTCCGAAAAAGTTTAATTTGGAACTCTCATAATCACAACTAGACCATTGACCTAAAAATCTGAATCTTTTGAAAAACTATGCCCAAAATGAAAGCTGGGAATGGTCAGATTTTTTCCTTCTCTTCATTGGTTAACGGTAAACAAAGCGCTTAGATAAATGTTCACTGTAAATATGAAAGATTCCTCCTTACACTGCGATGTCCCTTGTAACTGAGTTACAGGTGACTTTTTTGTCACAGCTGAACTGTTGGACTAAATGTCCCCTGCGCACCTACACTGGTATTGGCGAAAGTATTTTCACAGCAGTGCTGTTGGACTCAAGTCCCCCTTGCCATGTAGGCACAGGCGATTCATACTGACATCGTATAATGTTTAGTTCCATCCCTTTTTTCTTTGCCTGCAGTATAGCAGTCCCTCAAATGGCGCATTTGCCCTGAATATTTTTCAAACTTAAAATCTTATTTTTTGCTGGGGAGGAAACAAAATCAAGTGAAAAAACTTCGAATTTTTACCAGTTTTCATAACGCTGAAAAACTCCATGAAATGCAATTTGTTTTTAGATACTCTCCGAGTTGAGTCCGCATATATTTTCTTATTCACCTAGCACCTCGCAGTTTTTGTAATATTTGTTTTCTCAGTTTTAATCGCTGTTTGTCAAAGATTTTTTAGCATCTATCAACAATTCTCTTCATTTACTGAATAAAGATTGTTTCTCAGTTTTACTACTGACTCATTTCTTTTCCCTTACTTTAGCCTTTACCACTTTTAACACGGAAGTAATTACTGATTTTTGAAGTACACTATTTGAGAAAGAACACAATTCCATACTCAAAAAGAGCCAAATTCAATGTCTTTGAGCAGAAGCAGTTTTAAAGGTTACAAGGGGGGGCCCAATAATAAACCAGAATTGTGTTGTAACTTGGCAAGAGGTGCAAATTTCAGAGTTTTGTCACCAGGAAGTAGGAGCTATGAAGAGTTGCTAAGGTTTTAATAAAGCATGTCCTTCATAAGCAACACCTCAAGGGTTAGCGATAACTGAGAGAGAGCAAAAAATTTGAGTGCCAAGTGTTGCTAGTGAAATTGACCGATCCTACAAAAATGCCGAACAACAGCTCCTGCTAATTATTCTTGCATAAACGAATTGAAACATGGTAATCTGGCCAAGCAATTCTTCATAGCTCCTAGATATACCTCCTAGCGGTTGAACCCGAAGAAATTAAACTGTTATCCAGTTGTAGAAAAATTCCGGTTTTTTGGGGGTTTCCCCTCGTAAGCACCAAAGGTGTATCCCGTATAGGAAAGATACCAAAGACTTTTTTTAATGTCATTTTAACGATTGTCACATATGAAGCACAATAATGGTAACTGTACAAGCGATTTCAGGGTTTAATATTCATGACAGTTTCCTCATTGTTATGGTCTTCATGAGGGCCCGGGAATTTGGGATGGAAGAGGAAGACGAGAGTTTCAAGGTGTCATAACTGTGTATTGAAGACTGAGTGTGAGTGCACTGGACAACCCCCAGGTGCTGGGCCTACAGTGTTGCCATTATTTACTGCGCTGCACTTTACTTTTATTCAACCCTTTAGTTTCAGACTTTAAAGTATATTAAAATATACTTATATTTTGATATATATATGTTCTCAAAAGTAAGAAGCACTAAAAATGTGGCCCAAACTGTAAGTGACAAGGTGTTATAATAGTGCTGGGTCCACACTATAGTCTGCAGTACTTAGTATTCCAATGCACTTGCCTGAGCTGAACACTCACTCCCCTTAATCTTGCACTGGTCCAGCTCAAATGTTTGACTCAAATTAAAATCTTGGGAATTTTTTGGCCTTGCTTTCCGAACAGGATAGTGTGGATCCAGCACTATTCTAACACCTTGTTGTGTACTTAAATATATTTGGAACATGCTACATTTTTTACAGTGGTCATTTGAATGATGGCATAAGTCTGTCTGCGTCTGCCAAAGCAGTCTCAGCAGTAACTAGTATTCATGATGTTCAAAACTACTACAAACTTTTATAATATTGCCGATGGCAAAAAACTTAAAAAAATAAAGACTTTTGCTCGATAAGCACCATCTTTTAATATTCTCAAGACCAATCCACACAGGTCAGTCATTCCCGTGGACGAGTTTTGGTACTCTACTGCGCAGTGACGTACTATTGAGTGCTTGCAATGTATTTCTTATGGGAGCACCCATTGTGACGTACTATTGAGTGTAGCCGAGTTACGGCCGGGCGGGGAAGTGGCTTTCAAAAAGATGCGCAATGACTGACCTGTGTGGATTGGTCTTGAATACTCTGTGAGATCTTCAGCTAATCTGACTATTATACATGACACAATCCTGAATCATCCCTAGAGCTCAATGTAATTTACAGACAGCTCTGTACAATGGGACCTGACAAAGAAAACAGCAACAATCTAAGTATCCAACTTTGAGGGAAACAATTGTTGCATTCATACGTTTTAGTCTTCCTTAACTGTAAATCTTCTGTGTGATTTTTCCAAAAATCACCTAGGATTGGATAGGTACATTTTTATTTTTGTGTTTCATGAAGTTAACAAACTGTGCCATATTACCGAAAGTGCAGCAATTATATCTATGTAGACACTGGAACATTAGTTATCTCATTTCAATGTACAAAGCTGTATATATCATCTAATCAATTGCAAACAAAATTGAAGGAAAAACTTCAAATCATTTGAGATCTCTTGGATAAAAGAAAAGAATACATCACAGACAAGAATACTGCTATTTTTTGCCACTCCATTCTTGAGAAATGATTGAATGGAGATAGAAGCGGTCATAAACATAAGCTTAAATTCAGATTATTCAGCTTCGCAAACGAACAGCCTGTCAAAAATACAGGCCTTGTGCCTTTATTCCAGTCTTTGGTATCTCAATCATCTCAAGTTTTTAAATGACCTATGGCTTTCTCCAGGACATCTTTCCTGAGGCGAGGAAACTCAGAATTGCTGTTCAAAATATGAAGGCACACGTCAACGGAATGGGCATATTGTTTTGCTTTGAGCAAATTCGTGGCAAGTTTAGACCCTACATTCAAATCTGATTTTCCTGATAACTCCCAGGCCTTTGCATAATGAGCACTCGCTTCCAGATATTTTTGGTCTTTCTCGCTAATCAGGCCGTAATATTCATACGCTTTAGCGCAAGCTAAGTTGTGTGACAAGATTTTTTTTAGTAGTTCTGAGGTCAACTCATACTTACCAGACTGTAAATGCAAATCTGCCAGCATGAGCCAGCACTTCTCTAAATGTTCTGCTTCTTCGAACTGCCATGGAACTTTGGCAATTCTCTTAAGAACGCTCTTAGCCCGAGACGACTGCTTCATCTGAATATAACCCATTGATAAGCCAAGCGTAGCTCCAACTTTCATTGTTTCCTGATCGACCAACAATGTGAATGCAGTCATGGCTTTATCAATTTTTTGAGGATTCTTTGATGCTAGCCAAACAAATCCTTGTAGCAGTCTACAATTCAACTCTTCTTCCTGATTGCTCGGCTTCATTTCTGACAGTAATTTCTGTGCAGTTTCTGTGTCTGGTTGGATAAGACAAATTTCGACCATATTATGGAGGGCTTGTTGTCCCCATTCACTGTCAAACTGAGCAAGATTGAAATACTTTTTAGCGTCTGGGTAATTATTAGAATACCAATTGTACAAACCCAAACAGTAATTAAACCCAGGTTTATTTCTTGCCACAGGAGAAATTTTGTCCAAAATTGGTTTAGCTTCATGAAGGAGACCGAGACGTCTTTTGACTTCAATCAGTCTTGCTATAGGTACAAAGTAAGTTGGGTGCCTAGAAATGAGTTGGTTGAAGTGGGTCTCTGCAGTAGAGAAATCGCACCTACGAAATGCTAGATCAGCCATCATTAAAAGCGCGGGTTCATTGTTGGGATACTTCGAGACAATTGAGGAACAAATATCTTCACACGCTTTCCAATCATTAACCTGCAAATAAACATTTTCGATTAAAGATAGCAGAAAAATTGTTATATTTTATTAGATTTACAAGATAAAGAACAGGCATCAAGAATTTATGAGGGCTCTACGAGACTTAAGGTTGCATGCGTTGAATAAGCGTGAGGTCACAGTTACTCACCAAAGTAATCTCTCATGTCGAAACTAACATAGTAGGTGCATTCAAAACATAAATCTTATTACATTAAACATTCATCATTCAATCAAACTTCCTAAGTTTTAAACCAAGACCTGTAAGTAGTTTCCTAACTTCTATTATTTGTAAGGAGAAAGTACAGATTTGCACTTCTTGTGCACCTACCTGCAATATTCGAACTGTTGAAATAAACTGTGTAGCATCAAAATAAGATAGAGATAAAATTAAATCTTGTAATAATAATAACAGAGTTTATCAGGATTATTTGTGATTTGTGTTAAGTTTGTTGGGGAGAAATAAAAAGGAAATATATGGATGATTCTAGAAAAATGAATTTGACAAATACACTTCGGTGGGTTATTTGAAGAGGATCAAAAATAGAGACATTATTATGTATCATTTAATTTTGCAAAAATATACATACCTGCAAGTACAGTTTGGCTAGCGAAATTTGAACTGAGATTAACTCCGTGACTGTTGAGTTAGTACTCGAAATTGAAAGCCAACTTTTATAATGCACGACAGCATTATCAAAGTCTCTTAAACTTGCACTATATTCTGCCAAGAGTTTACAAATTCTTGCTCCCAACTCTGGATCACTCTGAGCGCATTGCTCAAGGGCTTCAGAGAGTAGTTTACAAGCTTTGGACAGATCGCCATTCTTCTCAGCAATCTATAAAATAACATTAACTATTTAAAGAATTACTTGACTAACAGACAAAAAACTCCACCTTACAATAGCTGAAATTAATTAATGCTTAGTATGCTTTGGAAACATTCCACAAGATTCGTATTCCCAATACGATTCGGGCTAATTCAAAAGAAATGAATGCATTGAACCAAAGAGATGAAGCCAACTAAATTCACTTAGAGAGGTACAATCCCACAAAAATCACACTGAGCGTAACAGAAATACTGTAAATCCACTCTTTGATGTACAACCTGGGCAGTCCATATTGTGCTTATCAAATTTACCACCTCTATCAGTAATATTTCTTAGTTACCCGTGATCAGGTTTGCCTAGAGAGAAATGTAAAAAAACTGTACCTAAATGAACAAACAATCTCGCAAAATTTTTCTCATAAATGATTTCAATTGAATAGAATAAAGTTAATACTCTTTGCTCATGATAGGTTTTGAAGAAATAATCGCCTTTTTGAAGAGACCCCCCTACCCTAAATCAGCATAGCTTTCATTTTTATGGCAAAGACATCCATGTACCATTAAAATGCACCTTCTCCAGTCATTACAAAGTCCAAATTATTCACAATTGAGATTAGTTCTTCAAAAACTGGTACTAACAAAGAAGAATGCTTCTGCAAAAGTTCAAGTTTCAGCCACAGAATCTTCCACCGTATCCGGAGCGATTAAGATACTTTAGCTTAAGCTATTAAGATCTTTTAGCTTTGAAAAGGGTGCTATTTTTAAGCCACTATTTTTAATTGCTTGGTCTTTAAAAAAATCCAACGTCAAATTCGTTCTCCTCGTGCAGGATACCTCCAGATACCACGTTCCAGGCAAATCCATCAGGAAAAAACCAAGATGCCAATTTTGGCCATTTTGAAACGGTTTTAGATGAAGACTACAGGTTTGCAGAAAAAAGTTTCTTCTTTTATGCGCTTTTGAACAAGATATCATGAGGAGGGTCTTTTCATTTAAAAAAAAAAGTCCGTTGCCTCCCTAAGGAAGTATCCCATGAGAATGTGGGGAGAGGAAGGAGGCATGAAAGTAGTTCCTTTTGACCAAGGAACTTGCTCTCAATTCCAAATCTTCACCTTAATTAGGGAAAAATTGGCATAGGGGAAGAAGACTTTTCTAACATCGTGTTTGTAATGTTTCACAAGGGTCATTATGGCTCAATGGATAGTAATTGATGACAAGCTGCTAGAAAAAATAGTGTTACCTCTGCTAGTACAAATACTTTTTGGGCCAAAGGAATGTTTGCTAGACAGTTTTCTGCTGCTTGAAGTTCACCGAGTTTGACAAGAAGCATACCCAATTCGACACTGCCAACTTCTCCTGTAGAAAGGCAAAAAATTAAAGAAATTATTTTTCTTTTTTATTGACCGATTGGTTTTTTTTATCTCATGACAATTTTTTTATTTTTTATCATTATCATGCGAACACTTATTTGTGTTTTTCACACAATCTTAAACATTAAAGGATAATTATCATCAAAAAACTGGGTCTAAAGTTGAAGTTCACACTTTCATAAGTTTTTTGTCAACTGTTGTTTACACTTGTATGTACATGGATTTCTGGAGAAGGTCGGCAGGAATTTCTAGGAGAGATCGGGTCCGTAATGATAGAGTTCGTCAGATAATGGAAGTCAAAAATGACATCGTGTTCGACGTCATGACCAAACAACTTGTTTGGTATGGTCATGTCAATAGGATGACTGAAGAGAGGCGGCCAAAAAAGATGCTTGATTGGGTTCCTCCTGGGAGGAGACATAGGGGACGCCCAGTGAGAGGTTGGCGACAGGGGGTGTTGAATGAGATGAGGAAGTGTCAACTCCCTGATGACCTGTGGGAAGACCGAGCTTTGTGGCGATTAGACGTCGTAAAGCGCCAAAGAGCGCAATAAAAGCGACTCATATGTATGTATTTTTACACTTGTAAAACTTTTTTCTCAACATTCAAAATGTTAACAAAATTCTCATTCAAACAAATTATGCTTAACAGTTTATACAGAACTTCACATATCATTGTACTAATAAGATGGGCGGAGAGATTTATGAGACGTACCTGACTCCCTGTATCGTTTGACAGCCTGAGCATACTGATGTGTTTTGACCAATACTCGCGCTGATCTGAGAGCAAATTCAGGATCCGCACTTAATTTTACAGCTCTCTCATAACTTTCTACGGCTTTTTCAGGCTCCTTTAGAAGAAAAAACCAAAAATTTATTGATCAAATTATTGCAGACATGCAAGAGATCTAGATGGATTTCAATCAAATCAGGAAAAAAACATTTTCTAACCAAATTTTGCAATTTCAACAAACGAAAAGATGGCAATCGTGCATGCTTTTATCAAGAATGAATAAAAATTTTGCAAAGTGTAAAATGGTTTTTAATGACTTTTTCGATGATAACAACTCAAAATCTACATTGCAAGTAGCATCACAGAGGTGCGTAACTTGGTGACACTGCATAAGTTGTTGAAATTCTTCAAAGGTTTCCAAAATTTTGAGGATATATTTCTACACATTAAGGACCGTCAAAATAAAAAGTTGGACTTAATTTGACCAGGGGGTGGTGGATTTAGGTGGTCACAAATCGACCTCTGGCGCCGTTTTACTATTAAATATCGAACAAATTTATAGATAAAAGGCCCCTTTCACGATTTAATAGTTTTTCATTTTTTCAATCTGGAGACGTTCCCTGACAATTTCATAAAAAAAAATTGAGAGAGGTCTGGAGGATTTTCAGAAAATCCACCTGGTAGCAAAATGTTTTTTCTGGTACAGTCAAATCGTAATTGGTATAATGATGTACTTATTTTCTGGTGAAGACCAGTTAAGGGATAAACAAATTTTCATAAAAATCATGTAGCGGTTAACTTGTTAATTGCCTTGGCTCTTTGGCAATATTTAGAAATTGTAGTGGATGCTCACCTGAATGGTTAAGTAGGCATCAGCTAATCGAACAAAACTCTCAGCTGTTCCCTCTTGTTTAGCTAACTGACGGTAACACTCAGCGTACATGTGACCATCTTTATTATATTTGAGATGAATTTCAGCCATTTTCATCTGAGCCTGAAACAAAAATGAATATTTGTTAAGTATTGATGTATTGAAAATTTTGTTCTGTTACAAATAAGAACCACTTACTTGGGAGGAGAGAGGAAAGGGGGTTCAATAAGTCCTAGTCACAGAAAAAATGTTTGAAAGTATCCCAGGTAGCAATAGTAACAGTTCAAAATTGCAATTTCACAACAGTTTTTACACTGTTACTTTTGTGCACTTTTTCATCGAAAAATTTGCTCTAGTACAACAGTTGAAAAACCAACGGAAAAGAGAAGTCCTTTGCGACTATAATCACTGAAAAATTTTTCTTACATACTTAAAAAATACCAGTGGAAAATTTATAATTTAGTCATGTTTTCTGAAAATATAACACAAATTTAACTAGTGTTATACACCGATCGAAAAGGAAACTATTATTGCAATAAAAACATACTTAGATTTGAAATAAAACGACGGTTTAAAATTCTCAATCAAAATCACTTACTTAACAAAACTTTTTTAAAGAAAGGAAAGTAGATTAACATTTTAATAACTAAAAAAAGTTAAAAAAATTATTCTAATTTATTTTTTTTTAAAGTTGATTTCATAAAACACAGAAGTAGACCATTTTGTTTTAAAAAAGCTATTTTACAAAACATAAAGTATTATACTGTACTAATGAGAAAAATTTAATCTAAATCAATAAAAAGATAAAAAAAAGACAATAAAAAACAAATTTAAATATCTCATTTGTTGCCATATTTTTGCAAAACACATTCTTATAAATAACCATGAAATATTAATTATTATTACATTATTTATTAAACAATATTGGTGAGAAACTATTTTTAAATCATTGTTTCCTGAAAACCGGTGTAGCTTTAATTTTTGTCGAAAAAGAATCCTTATAAAAAACTTTGATAACTATTTATCACTAACAAGGAAAATATAATTTAAATCGATAAAAAGATACAAGTGATAGTGATAAAATGACAGTTTAAATATCTGATTTATTGCAGTTTTTCTGCAAACCATTTTATTTCAAACAGTTGTGAAATATAAATTAGTATTACATTATTTTTTTAAATACCGATTTTAATTTCCGATTGTTTTATTGTAATCGGGGTGTTTCCTTTTATTTCCGATAGAGAGCTCCGATTTATTTTGTTTTTGGATGGGTCGTTTATGGTGCCTGTCTAACCTTTGTGTGTAGTGAAAACATAAAATATATTATTTATATTCTACGACATACGTTTTTTTATCGACGGCTTCTATGTTTGCTTTGTTCGGTGCATATGAGTGGATTTTCTTCTCACATTTTTGATGACCCCCCTGTGGTTAACTGTGCCTAGACAGGGCATGGGCCTATCTATAGCGTTGATTGTAGTGTGGTGTGTCGAGTGTAGTCACATCCCTGCTGCATAGTCTTTGTTGCTCCTCCTTAGAGGAAGTATCGGTGCTCACCGTCATCGGTGTTCAAAATAGAAATATGAGGCCTGAAACTGGGGAGTTCTATAATTGATCTTTTAAAACCAAAAAATAACAGTTTAACAAAATATTAAAAACGAATAAAATTTCATATATTGACACTGTTAATTTTCAATAAAACTACAATTTTACGAGTCGTTCTATTATTAGAAATTAGTTTTTCTATGGATATTTTAAGTTTTTTTTAATACTTTACAAGAATAATTCAAAACTCGTATTCAACATTTAAATTTTTTATTTTTATTTTAAGACAAGTGTCGCTTTACACCAGTAAATTTTCCAAATGAAATTTGTTTTTCACTACTTTAATCATTGTTGATTTATGTCATTAAATTATTTTAAACTGTTATTTTTAACTTCATAAAATAGGAATATAGCGCCTGAAACTGTTGTAACTGGGGAGTACTTTAATCGATCTTTTCAACCAATATAAATTGTTTTTTTATAATATATTAATAGGAATTAAAACTCTCATTTAATAGCAATAAAACTGTTATTTCGAAGATATAATAAAAATTATTTTATTGCAGACCTTGCTACCTGGGTAGCCCATTTTGATGTTAAAGAGGCTGCCTTATTTATTCAAACAAAATGGCTATTTGAAATTTTTTACTCATTTTTTCAGGGATCACAAAGGGTCATTAGACAGGCTTAACTGGGTGTTTATTTTCCTCTAGCAGGCCTAGAGGTGGAAGCTCACAAATGCACTTTGCCATGTGAACTCTTCAACCTACTAGTTTGACTTTAATTTCAACTGAAAGCTCTAATCCGTTGTGCCTAGTATTCTTTTTTTTCCCACTGCTTTTACATTGGTCATGAAAAAACAGAGGAGATATTGGTAATTTTTCACGATCCAGGATTAGGTTTTAAATAAATAAATAGGTAAAAAATCTCACATTTATGAAGTGGGGTTGATCAGCAGTGATGGATGCCAGTACTGAAAGTGCGGTGGCAACATTATTTTGCAACAAGGCAAGGTCAGCGTTGCTCATGATAAAAAGGGGTTCAAACTTGGATTTTTCGAATATTTCTGCGGCTTCACCCAAGCACTCTTTCGCATTACGGAACTGGTTCAATTCCTTATAGCAAGAACTTAGCTCAATGTATAGACTGGCCAAATCTTGATCATTTAATTTTTCAGCACCTATTCAAAACGATAAGAAAAAGTCACAATGAAAACATTGTAAGTATGGAGAACACAAACCGTTATGTCAGCATGATAATTTTTCATGTAATTGAAAAAATTAAGAATATTTGATGCTCTATTCAATGCAGTTAACTTGGAAAATTACCTGTATTAAGGGATAATGCATTTTTCAAACTGTTGACGGATGATTCAACATCTCCTCGATGTCTTTGTAGGATCCCATTGAGTAGATGGAAGAGGGCCTTTTCTCTGATTTTCAAATTGTAGCTTAAAGCCAGTTCCAGATTGATATTTGCTTCACTGAAGTTACCCTGGATGGATAGAAAAATTTTATTTAACCAAAATATTGCAATTGTGTTGCATAAAAATGGAATTTTATTTGAATATTTAGAATATTTAATGACGGTGTGATATAATATTTATACGGTGAATGACATCAATTACCATGTTTTTTAAAGGACAATAACTCAGTTAATCTCATATAACATAGAAAATTTCTAGTCGATCAGCTTGAGGTTCAAAATGATGAAAATGTCTTTTTCATCGCATACAGAAATATTTGAAATTGCATTTGTGCCATATTTTTCTTTTGATGACACATAATTTATTGCAACATAGGTTACTGTTTCTAATATTCTTTAATAAATCGGATTATTACACAGTTTCAGGATAGAATTTTCACAAAGTACATTTCTGAGATCTTTTGATCAAGTTTGTCAGTGCAGCAAAGGATCAATCCTTAGAATGAGCCTTTACGCCATTTTCTCATTATTTCTATGAGGCAACAAAGATCATAACTCAGTTTACATAAAGTGAATCCCTACTAGGACGATCAATTTGAAAAAATTCACACCTTTTCCTTGTGGATTTTGGCCATCAGTATAAATGCTTCTGAATTTGCTGGATCCAACTCATTAGTGATATGCTTCAATGTCTTCATGGCTTCATCATAAAATTCATTGTCCGTTTGTATAACAGCAAGCAGTGACCATACACACACCAAACCGGGGCACAAACGGCTTAGTTTCCTTAGCACGTCAATTTTTCGTTCGGCATAAACAGGCTGATAGGAGCAGAAAACCATGAAGTATATTAACATCCAGTTACAACCAAAATAGATGAATCACTTGCTGAGAAATAAGTTTTGAACCAAGCAAGTTGAATTCTTTGTGGTAAGGACTTTATTGTGACAAATGAAACATATATGTGTTTATGAATTCTTTGTAATAATGACTATTATGATGAATAAAGGATTACAACAAGCTGTTCAGGATTCAATAATTAACTGCTTTGAACGGGCTTATGTAAGTTTTCAAAATTCATAGAGTATCTAATTAGCTACTCTACGACCAGAAGAAAGGGCAGGGTAAGGGAGATCTTTCTTCACTTTCCTTCCTCTACTCCCTTGACTTAAAAAAAAATAAGGTGAACCTTAATAGTCAGGGTATGTCAGCCCTTGGACCAGCAAATTTTAGCCTACTAGGTGATCGAAACCTTCAAATCAATTTAATTTTCAAGGGCTCAATTGAATTCTCTTGTTTGAGGTTCGATTGAAAGTAGCTACATTGTCCTTGGTGCTCCTGATAAGAATTCTGGAGTGCGCTGACTTTTTATTTAATTATCACTGAAAGGAAACATGATTTTCTGAATGTGGTCAGAAGGAAGATGGGTTTTTCTGTGTAGAATTAAGAAGAAAATCCTTGAAACATGGTACAAAATAAATTCTTCATGTCAAGCTACAATTAGAGATGATATGCACACTGATGCAACTCTAAAGACAATGAAGTGTTTAAAATATTTACTAGCTTAATATAAACTAATATATAAATGCCCAAAACATAAATGAAGAAATTTCGTTTCCGCTCCATAGGAAAGAGAAAAATTGGTGATTTTGACCAGCCAGGTTGGCCTGGTGGTCAGTACGTCAGACTCTAAGGGGATAGGTCCCGGGTTTGAATCCCGATAGTGACGAACAATTTTCATGGAACCAATGATAATATCTGTAGAAATAGATTTCACTCAGCCTTAATCCCTGCACATTTGTAAGCCTACAGCATGGGTGTGTGGCTCCGGCAGGTGAACTAGGCTTTGCCCAATTTGCCAGGCTGTAGAGAGCAAAAAAAAAAAAAAAGAAGGATAATCACTTAAGTGCAAAACTAAGGATATTAAATGAATAGGCAAATAAAAATACCTGATCTGGATAAATGCTCAATGCATAAAAGAGGATATCTGGATTCAGCTCTGCTAGGTAAGAACAACCAAATGGTGTGGAAGAAACGGACTGGAACTTTCTATCAATAAGTTCATCACAAAAAGAAGCAGCTTCAGTTGGCTGACACATGGCTTGCATGATCAATAAGTCAGGATCATGTTTATTCTCAGCAATTTCTATTAAGAAATCCACTTGTTGTTTTGTCTGAAAGTGGACAGAATTGTGTTCCAAAAATGTCTTAAATTATTGAACAGATATATTGTGTAAGTTGCATTAGTGATAACATGATGTTTTGATGGTTTAAGCTTTTAATTAGCAAACAATTATAAGATCTGTTCACACGCTGATTTCTACATCCAATATTAACGGAGATATCGCCCTTCAAAGTACACCGTGTATGACGTCAATCGCGGTAGTATGTGCCATGGTTTCCTCCACCTTGGATTCATCAGTTAGTGATGCACTTGTCTTGTTTGGACTGGTTGCTCAACTTTTTAACACGGACGAAACTAAGGTTCAAGAAACCGTAAGATGCACCACCACGATGGCAGGACATCATAAGCTGTGTTTTTTGAAGGGCCATATCTCCGTAAATATTGGACTCTCGGAATTAAATCTCTGGATTTAATTCCGAGATTAGCGCGACATGGTTTAATGGAATGCTCAAAATTATAGTGTGGAAGGATGGAAAACATTTTATTTAAGATCAAATATGCCTTTTGAGAAAAAATTTGATGGAAAATAAATTTGAAGACTTTTTGCAGACCTAAAAATGTGATAAAAAAAAAAAAAAAACCTCTTAAGTCTATCTGGTTCGTCCATTAATGAAGTTGATGCAACAGGGCTTGGTGGTCAACTTTTTATCTAATATGATCCAAGTCTTCCACTCTTTTGCATGAGATGTGGTCGATTTTAAGTGAGGTTCTTAACTTCTTCATAATTTTCTATAACACCTACACCATGGCAATCTGCCATGTCTTACAACTATCTATTATTATTTTTAATCCGTTGCAAGGCCATTACCTGTGATGTGACTCCATTCTCAGCTATGGCTGAGAGGGTGAGCCCTGCAAGAGCAGTAAAGCATGACTCATTTATTTTCAATGCACTTCGGTAAACTTTCGTTGCATCTTTGTACTTTTTTGACAAATAGTACTGATGAGCCACCTCATTGACCACAGTTAAATTGTTGCAGGAAATGGACAAAGCTTTTTGCAGCAGACATTCTGTTGAAGCGAGGACAGTTCTGTCTCGTCCACAGGTTCGAGAAAAAAGGACAGCTGCTTCATGAAGTAGTTTCCAGTTTTGTGGCTCTTGTTCCTCCGCAATTGAAGAAAAGCTGCCCAAGCCAATTGAAACTTCCTCATAGTTTCCTTCAAAACACGTTTGATACAGTAATTTGACCTATGAAAAATATGGATAATATTATTTGTCAGTACAGCAACAAAAAATAAAACGTTATTTGTGAGTAGAGAAGCAATGAATACAATTTTTTTTGTTGGTCCAGTGGCAATGAATAAAAAATTATTTGTTGATGCTATATTTTACGTTCGAGCTGAAGTTAAAGAGTAAAAAATTTGTAATGGATTAACACATTGTTTTCACAGAACTTATGTCACTTAAACTGTATTTGAAATAAAAGTTTCATTTAAGTCCACTTTGAAATTAAAGCGCTTATTTTTCGGTGAAAACGTTTCCTTAAATGTTCCTGATGGAATGAAGTAATAAAAACTTGCATCCTTTTTACAGCAAGCGCAGCTTCATGTTGTACTCAAAGCAAGAGCAACGCTTTTGCACTTTTAAATACATAATCATCAGTAACATCCGTTGTGCAATAACAGAAGATTCACTTGAATCCATTTCACCGTTTAATGTGTACTCTACGCATTTGTAATAATAGGTCACACATATTCTTTTTTTAAAAGTTTTATAAGTCAAAATTTTAAAAGTTTAAAATAAAAAAATAAAAGGAATACCTTGAGGGCAGTTAAATTTTTTGGATCCATTGTTAGAATTCTGTTCGCAGTATCAATTGTTAACTGCCAGTCAAACAGAGAGAGATGAAGGCGCATTTTCTCGACCAGTGGGGGACTCAACTCAGGATACCTGACGATTAGTTGATTTACTTTTGACAGACCATCACAGGGTGGAATAATTTTTACCTCACCAAACACGGCATCCATACAAAAAGGGTTCTATACATGGACAAAGAATGTGAGATATGAATCATAACAAAAGGTGAAAGTAAAAATTATGGCTCAATATTGAGGAGAGAAAAGAGGAAGAGAAAGGAATATTGGCGCATTAGAATTAATTAGTATCTACATATATATTTTGATCACACTGAATGACAATTTTGCTAAGGTGGAAAATCTTCCCATTTTGAAAATGCTTTATTTTTTTCCGATTGCCTAGACTTAAAAAAAGCCTAAGAGGAAGAGATTGATCCCTTAAGGTGCCATTGAACAAATTTCAATTAAATAGAAACACCTATCGATGGGACCTTCAGAACCTTCCAGTGTGGCACTTCCACTAACATTCTAGCCAAAAAATAAAATATTCTATTGAAAATTTTCTAAAATTATTATTGAGAATTTCAGAGATATCACTCCTAATGCTAAGGATCAACATATAAAAGTTCCAACTGCATCCAAGCAGGGAAAGAAAAGAGGGAGGTTTTCCTCCTTTCAATCCCCGATTTGACCCTTAAAGACTCCTCTTGACCCTGGACTTTATTTTCCAGGAGCTCAATAGAATGAGTCAATTTTTGGTTAAAATGTCAGTAAAAGTGCCCTACTATAAGGTTCTGAAGGCCCCTTCAATTGGTATTTTCATTTCGTCAACGTTTGTTCAACGGGACCGTCACTGAGAAGAGGAATCGTAAAAATAAGATCAATGCAAACCTTGGCAAGAGCGGATCGAAAGCAAGACAAAGCAATCTTCTTATTGCCTTCAGTCAGTTCTATCCAACCTTTTAAAACCAAACCGCATAATGATTCTGGATTCAGTTTCATCAGTCTGTGAATGAAGTCTCGAGCTTTTTCAATTTTTCCAACCATGAAAAGAATGTCGGCAGCATTGAGTAATGCAGTTTCATGAGGGAGTTTCATCTCATCCTTAAGTAATTGTTCTGCTTTGTAAATTGCTTCCTTATCAGGCATCTAAAAAATACAAAAAACCACAGATGACAGACCTATAAAAGATACTACAGGAAAGATGGGGAGGTGCATTAAACTATTGATAAGATGTGACCACTTTTTCACAGACAGTCCCCTAGAAATTTTCCAAAAAAGACCTTAAAAGTCTCTTTCTGCACTCTCAATTATCCTGTAATAATCATGTTCATATTTCATATGGATCTTGTTTTTGCAACTTTATATGTGTACATAATATGTTAAACAGCGTAAATAATTTGTTCCCACCGATTTTTTTAAAAAACCTGTTTTCTTTCTAAGATGAGAGCCATTTTTGGCATCTCATTCACGTCAAATGCTTCCATTGAAAAACTAAAATTGCAGGAAATGATAATCAAAGCTATCCCAGTCCAATCCTGCTTCTATCTTGACTGAAAGCAAGCCGCTCAGCTGGTCCTTTCATCTCCTATCAGTGCTGGCGGGAAGATAAGTGTTGCGATTTTACTTTCTACTTTAGTAGTTTTTGGGCTCCGTAAGTTCCTATTTTTAACTGCTCACATGCATTCATTTTCCTCTCTTCCTTGGACGTTTTCACATCTCAGATCTCACACTTTTCCAGCGCATATTTTTTTTTAAACAGGTGGTCAGGTATTCAAATAAATATCAGATATCAAATGACTATGAACAAAAAGTTGAAAATTTTCTTAAGGGAAGAATCATAAAATAGAAAAATGTGATAAAGATCTAACAATAAACCTAAACCACTAATTCAGTAAGCTCATCAAGTGTTGTAAATAATTAACTGAATAACAAAAAATGCTTTTAGCAGTGAACGCAAAAGCCTCCATCCTGAGAGAATATGTAAAAAGACAGGGCCACAAAAATATGAGTATAAGAGAGGCACTAATCAGACCTGTTGTTTCAACCAGGGATTCAGAGACACATAAGTCAGAAAAATTCTTTATTTCCTGATTCAAGAAAATTACTCAACAGGAAGGGTACTATGCCATCGACATCTCTATCGAACTTGCCAAAACATGGAGGGATGAACATCTACCAAATAATGCCAAACTTTTGAAAGGATTTTGATAGAAGGATAACCGTCGCTGGGTAGCGGAATCTATCACTGAAGATGAGCATGTGTTTCCTCAGAATTACCTTGCATTGTTTATGTATATGAATCGACGCCAGTAGAGCTGCTAGGGCTATATTTGGTTCTGATGTCAAAGGCTGAAGTTGGTCTAAAGCTTCACTTAATCGCCCATTTAAAAAGTGTGCAACTCCAATATATAGATTGGAAGTGAGATCTGATGGATCGCTTTCTTGACTCAATTCAGTACTTCGCAGCATTTCATGGTAAAGCTTTTCCCTGAAGTAGTAGTGCACCAGATCTATTTCCATTTTTGTGAGTGTAAGTCAATTAAAAATCTGAAAATAATATTTAAACACACTTGAAAAATCATGAAGCAGCATAGGAAATTGTTGATACCAGATCAAAGCAAAAAACATTTTATCCACTGCCAATCAAGTATTAAAAATCAACGAAATATTTGTTTGGGTAAACCAAGTTTTGGACCCAAATCAGTTGGCAGCTATTTAGAAAACTGCCTACTCAATTTTAACTACTGCTGAGAGAAAAATTATCTGGAGAGATTTCCTTCAGATTTTTTTTTTTTAATTTGGCTACATTTTCAATTTCACATTCCAGAGCAAAAAATAATGCCTACCTATTTCTCAATCAGACAGACATCAATTTTGGGTTGTTTATAGCTTGAGTGGAATACCTAATTTTGGTTAAAGAAATTATACTTGAGCGCAGATTTGCGACACCATACTGTGAACTTCTCAACTAGAGCGTGGTGGAATGTGGAGGTGATCTCTAGACTGAAAATTGAATACCTACCCTGTAAATGATATCAATATTTTGATGGCAACACATGGTTTTTGATGTTCCAAAATTTCCATTAAATATTTCTTTACCTAAGAGGAAGTCGATTACTTTGAAACTCTGAGGTAAATTTTACTTCCTAACAAGAGCACTTTCAACAAATGCCTCAGAAAGCAGTGATGGCTTAAAGAACATGTTGACCATCATGAGCTTTTCGAACCTCAATAGATCAATGCAGTAGGGATGTAAAATAAACGCAAATTTACACAGGAGAAGTTCCTTGCTGAATGATGAGCTAAGGTAGGGTCTTGTCAATTGAAAATAAAACAGTAATTTAATTACCAAAAGAGGATGGTTTGAAATCTAAAGCTGATCTTTTGTGATGGAAAGCAATGGAGAATTGGATCATTCCAGAGATTCAGGACTGATTTAAGATTTAAATCACTCGAAATAATTAATGTAACAAACACTATGACATTTTCGTAATAATCGGTTAACGATTCGATCAAATTTAGCTCGGAAATAAAAAAAAATTGCATGCATTTCGCATTACTCGGTCTTGATACTTGTTTCTTGGGTGTTTTGTTTACAGATGACCTAACCTATATTGATAACAACCAATACCCCCTAGACCAGAGACAAGAGACCCTCCACTGGCCTCCTAGCGACAGGTGGAAGCTTTCACTTTCGGGGTTTCAACAATTCCTTATGGACAATTATGAGCGAGCAACAGTCATCACCCTATTTTCGGCTGTTGACTTACCTACATGGTCGATGATGAGCTTCGGATGACGTCATAAGCCAAACAACTTTCCCAAACGTCGGCCATTTTCGGCTTGTTTGCGAAACGAAACTGCCAACACGTTGTTGAACATCAACCATGTAGGTAAGTCAACAGTAGAATGCTGAAGTCCCGAAAGTAAAAGCTTCCACCAT